CCCCCCCCCCCGTCTCTCTCTCTCTCTCTCTCTCTCTCTCTTTCTGTCGCTCGTTCTCTCTCTCTCTCTCTCTCTCTGTTTGTTTTTCTCTGTCTCTCTCTCTCTCTCTCTCGCTCTCTCTCTCTCTCTCTTCGTTTGTTAGTTGTTGGTCTCTCTCTCTCTCTCTCTCTCCCTCTCTCCCTCCCTCTCTTTCTGTGTATATAGCTGTGTGTATAAATATAAGTATAATATAAACCCGTGTGCACATTTCATGTACACATACATATACATGTGCACGCAGTGCCTCTCACTATCTCGGCCCCTCTCTCTGCCTCCCCGCCCGCACGTTCCCTCTCTCCGTCCCTGCCCCCGCGCGGCTCCTTCCGTCGCCCAGGGGTCCAACAAAAATCCGGACGCCGCGCCTCCCGGGACCTTTTTCCCGGGGCGCGTGCCGACCAAACCCCCGGCGCGGCTCCAGCCGTGGCGACGGGGGCCACAGCCCCCAGGAGGCCCAAGAAGGCAAAGACGAGGCAGGGGTAGGAGCATGATCGGCGATCGGTGTATCTATCCATCGATCGATCTATCTATCTATCTATAGATCTATCTATCTATCAATACCATTATATATATGTCTATATATACACCTATATATATACATATATATAGCACATATCTAACTATATATATGTATCTCTCTATTCGATATATTTATATATGTATATACATATATATATATATATATATTATGATGACGCGCCCCTGTTCGAGTTGCCAGTGAAACCACAGCAATTACTACGAGAAATCAGTATATCATTGCAACGAGAACGGAAAACCCCAACACTAAGCAAATCTAGCTCGCTTGCAAGGTACATATCTATCTATCTATATATCTATATATCTATCTATCTATCTATCTATCTATCTGTATAGCTATCTAGATATCGGTGTGTATACATTTAACTATATAGATGTGTTTATTTACAGCTTTTTACAGTATGGTGCATATGTGTGCATATAGATATATACTGAGCACTCATTGTAATTCCGGTCATGTGTATTCCGGTCATTTCCAATTCCGGCCACGAATTGCAAGTGAGAGGTGCCGACGGGAAGGCATGTGCTCAAGCGCTACGCCCAACGTGTCTCCAAGGCGTCAGGGCGCAGCTTCTGCTTACGCTCGTAAAAGATCAAAATAATAACGGCAACAACAACGTCGTCGCCGTTCCGTGTGGCACGCAGGATTTGCGTGTCACGTCTACACGACACGCAAATCCTGCGTGTCGCGTCGCCCGGCCGCCCCGAGCGCGTTCCGGGTGACACGCAGGATTTGCGCGTCACGTTTACTTACGCGACGCCGCCCCGAGCGCGTTCCGTGTCACGTCAGTCTGAAGCCTCAAGGCCGCGGAGTGACTGACACGCAGGCTCCGCGTGTCGCGCAGACGCGAACGCCTCCGTGACACGCAAATTCTGCGTGTCCCTGCGCGGCGTTCTCGAGGTGACACGCAGATTCTGCCTGTTCCGGCCCTGGCCCCCGGCATCTGGACCTCCGGGAGCGCCACGGTCCCCGGCCCTTGGCCCCCACCTGCTGGGGCCCGCGTGACACGCAGATTCTGCGTCCCGACCCCGGCCCCCGGGACACCCGGCGTGCGACACGCAGATTTTGCGTGTCCGCTCCCCTGGTGGGGCCCGCGTGACGCGCAGATTCTGCGTGTCCCCACCCCGGCCCCTGGACCCCCGGCGTGCGACGCGCAGATTTTGGGCCCGCGTGACACGCAGATTCTGCGTGTCCCCACTCTGGCCTCCAGGACACCCGGCGGGCGACACGCAGATTTTGCGTGTCCGCCCCCCTGGTGGGGCCCTCGTGACACGCAGATTCTGCGTGTCCCCACCCCGGCCCCCGGACCCCCGGCGTGCGACACGCAGATTTTGGGCCCGCGTGACACGCAGATTCTGCGTGTCCCCACCCCGGCCCCCAGGACCCCTGGCGTGCGACACGCAGATTTTGCGTGACCGCCCCCCTGGTGGGGCCCGCGTGACACGCAGATTCTGCGTGTCCCCACCCCGGCCCCCGGACCCCCGGCGTGCGACGCGCAGATTTTGCGCGTCCGCCCCCCTGATTCTGCGTGTCCCGCTCCAGGCGCGCTCCGTGTGACACGCAGATTTTGCGTGTCACGTGTGCGCGACACGCAGGATTTGCGCGTCACGTCTACGCGTGCCCGATCGGGGATGGCGCGCCCCAGATCCAGACTCGGGCGCGCGCTCGAATGCATTTGCCCTGGGGCCTCCGGGGCCTAACAAGCGCGTTCATTTCTAATTCCGGTCATTTGCAATTCTGGCCACGAATTAGAAATGAAGCGCGCCGAAGGGGCGGCGGAGGCCACGTGCAGCACACGAATTAGAAATGAGCACTCTGTACAAATACAAGACTACAGTGGCGCTTCGCGCCATGCACCTCGGTCCTTGAAGTTTGGTATGCAGGCTGAATAGCAGGAAAGTCAAGCCGACAACTTAGCGATAACTCCTTGTTGCCTTTTCCGGCATCGCCGCTATGATAATGTTATTCGTTATCCTTCCTCCATGCTTCTTTTTTCTCATGTTCGCCATACCCTGCGCATTTTCCCCATCCTCCTCAGCTCTTTTTTGCGGAGGCTCCTCCTGGGAGAGCCTCCGGGGGCCTCACATAAGTTGTTTCAGGCTTTCTCAAGGCCTTCTGGAGGCCTCCTGGGCGTATTCTGGGGGCTCTGGGGGCTTCCTCGGGCCACCCTGCCTCCAACCGCGGTCTCCCTGAACGACCGGGTCACGATTTGGAATGCTTCGGAGGGTGTCTTGAGGCCATCTTGGGCCGCCATGGGGCTCTAAGGGCCATCTTGGACCCGTGTTGTGCCGTTTTGGGGCTCTCTTGGACTGCCTGGAAGCTCTTTCGGATGGTTGTGGGGCGATTTTGGAGCCTCACAGGCGGCTTCGGACGCCCAGAAGACCGCAGGCTCGGAGCGTCGGGAAGCCGAAAAGAGGAGAACCCCCAAATTCACCAACAGCCAACAGAAAATCCATGAATTTTGCCTCTTGGGGCCTTCTTGGTAATGCTCTTGGAGGCCTCTTTGGGGCCGTCCTGGAGACCTCTCACGTCGGTCACTCTTGGAGCGCTCTTGTGCTGTCTTGGGGGTCTCCGAGACGTCTCCGATGACCCCCCTGATCGCCCGAGGTGTGCTGGGAAGGCTTGGCAAAACGCCCTGCGAGGCCTGGGAGGCCGCTTCGAGGCCCGTCTGGAGGGTCCCATAGCCCCAGATCCTGGGAGTCCGGTTTTGGGGGTGGGGGTGGGTTCCCCCCGCCCGGGCTGATAAAAATACAGGCAGAGGAATACACACACACACACACACACACACACACACACACACACACACACACACACACACACACACACACACACACACACACACACACACACACACACATATACACACATGAACCACGCGCGCGCTTCGCGCGCGCTTAGGTTCTAGTTTGCTCCGAAAACGGGGTTCGCAAGCACGGGTCCGATTCCGTGGCGATTCGCGGGAAATCTACGTCCGAAAATGACGTGTTGCCAGAGGCAGGTCCGCGGATGCTTTAATGCAACGTGTCCAGTGTATCCAACGATTGCATACTTGTTACATATGCTACATATTGTATTGTTCTGCAATATTAGGCCCCCCCCCTTGGAGCCGCGCCACATCGTCGGACCAAATCTGGAGGGCCTCATTCTGGGCCTCAAAACATAGAAAGACCTATGGAGGCCATGTTGGGCCGTATCGGAGCGCTCCGGGGGCCCTCTCGGGGCGACCGGGAAGTCTCTTGGGCCATCTTGGGCGGACTGGGAGGCCCGGGGGCCGCCCGAGGAGCGTCCCAGGAAGCCCTCCTAGGCCCTCTTAGCGCTGTCCTCAGGCGTCCTGGGGCGTCCTTGGGCGCCTCCTGGGGCTGTCTGACAACTCGGACAGCCAAGGGATGAGATATCCTAAAAATGTACGTTTTACGGGGGAATGGGGCCATTTTGGTCTCCCGGGGCGCTCTTGGGGGGCCTCTTGGGGCGGTTTGATGGCCTCTTGTCCCTTCTGGAAGCGATCTTTGGCGGTCTTGAAGCGGTCCTGGGCTTCTCTCGGCGCTCTTGGAGCCTTCTTTGGCGGACTGGGAGGCCCGGGGGCCGCCCGAGGAGCGTCCCGGGAGGCCTTCCTGGGCTGTCTTCGGGCTATCCTAGGGCGCCTCGTGGGGCTTTCGGACCGCTCCGACAGCCAATGGAGCTGATATCCTAAAAATGTACGTTTTACGAGGGAATGGGGCCATTTTGGTCTCCCGGGGCGCTCTTGGGGGGCCTCTTGGAGGCCTCTTGGGGCGGTTTGATGGCCTCTTGGCCCTTCTGGAAGCGATCTTTTGCGGTCTTGAAGCGATCCTGGGTTCTCTCGGCGCTCTTGGAGCCTTCTTGGGCGGACTGGGCAGCCCGGGGGCCGCCGGAGGAGCGTCCCGGGAGGCCCTCCTGGGCCGTCTTGGGGCTGTCCTCAGTCGTCCTGGAGCGTCCTTGGGCGCCTCGTGGGGCTTTCTGGCCGCTCCGACAGCTAAGGGAGCTGATATCGTAAAAATGTACGTTTTACGAAGGGAATGGGGCTATTTTGGTCTCCCGGGGCGCTCGTGGGGGGCCTCTTGAAGGCCTCTTGGGGCGGTTTGAGCGCCTCTTGACCCTTCTGGAAGCGATCTTTGGCGGTCTTGAAGCGATCCTGGGGTTCTCTCGGCGCTCCTGGAGCCCTCTTGGGCGGGCTGGAACGCGCGGGGGCCGCCGGAAGGGCGCCCCGGGAGAGGGCCGCACCCTATATACAAGGGGGGTTCCGGCCCGGGGCCCGGGGCCCGGGATCTCCCATATATGTATATACATGAAAGCATGTGTATATGTATGTGTATCCTCCTCTGACTCTCTCCCCGTCGAGGTTGGCAGGATGAGAAGCATGAGCGCATCGTCGGTTGCTGGCGCCCCAAGGGATAGGCCCCCTCCCGTCCAAGCAGTCTTGCTTCGCCACGGCCAGCTCGAGTGCCGCAGTGGGTTCCATCACGTTCCACACTCCTTCCCATTGAGGCGGAGACGGGCGAGGGAGGGGAGCTAGGAGGAGGCAGGATGCGGGTGGAGCAAACGGGAGGAAGAAAGTGGAGATCGATAGTTCAGGAGGAAGATAGAGGACTGGGTGAGGGAGGTCGGAGAAATCATGGATGAGGGAGGATCGAGTAGGAATGATGAAGGAGAAAAGAGGAAGGGTTAGGATGGATACAGGTTTTGCTGGAGCTCGGACTGCATATATCATTCCGTGGGCGGCTGGATCAAAAGGGACAGGCGAGAGGCATGTGCTAGCCGCCAGAGCCAGGCGAGATAGAGAAGCCGAAGGAGCAGCAGGCCCGATGGAGACCGCAAGAGGCCACGCTGAGCGCGGGAAAAAGGGAGGAATAGTACACGAGCGAGGAATCTAAGAAACCACGCGCAAACGCAAAGGCAGGGCATGCCGCTGCCTTTGCATCCTGCTATCTTGAGCGGTATCCATTCTCAGCTGGACCTGCACTGGAACACGGAGGAGAGCCGCCGAACACAAGTATCGGGTGTTGCCAGAAGTGCCCCTGTTCCAAGGTGCCCCCCAAGACTTCCACGGAGGCCCCCACAGCCTCCAGAGCACCCCTCAACGAGGCCCAGAGGGCTCCAGAGGCCCCAAGAACTGAGCAAAAGGCTGGGCGCACCTTTGGCCCGGGGCAGTTGTAGCAACCCCCGGAGAGTAGGCCCCAAGTCCGCCGACCCCTTGCGGGTCTCGAAGCGTGTGAGATTGTTTCCCCCCCATAACCCCCCCTAGGGACTCCAAACCGGAGATTTGACCCCCCCCCGGACCACCCCCATGGCCCGGCGCGAGCGACTCACGGGGCTTTTCCGGGCCCAAGAGAGCCCAAAGACGGGCCAAAAAGGCCCCAAGAGGCCTCCAAGACGGCCCACGAGGGCCCCGAGACGCCAAACGAGCGCTCAAAGACGCCCAAGATGGCTCCAAAACGGGCCAAGAGGCCTCGAAGATGCCCCAAGAAGCCTCCAAGAGGCCTCCCAAGAGGGCCCCGAGAAGCCAAAATCTTTGATTTTTCCGTTGTTTCTCAATGAATTTTGGGTTTTCGCGTTTTCCGCTTCTCGACGCCTCAAGACGGCCCCGGAGGCCCCGAAAACAGCCCCAAGACGGCCCAAGAGGCCCCCAAGATGGCCCCAAGACGGCCCAAGAGGGCCCCAAGACGGCCCAAGAGGCGCCCAAAACGGCCCAAGAGGGCCCCAAGACGGGCCCAAGAGGGGGGAAACAAACTCATTTCGAGCCCTCGGCCCCCAGACGCCCCCGGGAAGCCCAAAGAGGCCCCCCAAGAGGGCCCCAAGAGGCCCCCAAGAGGCCCCAAGCATGCCCCAAGAGGCCCAAAACAGGCCCCAAGAGGCCCCAAAACTGCCCCCAAAGGGTCTCCAAAGTGTGGGCGGTACCATTTGAGGCATACGGACGACGCACCTCGCGTGGTACTCGGTCGGTACCACTTGAGGTCTCCGAGAGACCGACCACGAGATCCCAAAGAACACTCCAGAGGCCTCTGACTCACAACCCAGGCGCGGTGGCGGGATTGGCGGGACGGGCCTCAGGCCATTCGAGAAAAATCCCTCCCAGGATCCACGACAAGATCCTCACTTGTCCTCGTCGTCTTCTTCCTCCTCCCCCTCCTCCTCCTCCTTCCTCCTTTTCCTCCCCCGTCGTCTCCCCCTCCTGCTTTGTTCCTCCCTACTGTCCACAGCATTCGCGCGCTGCCAGACGCGCTGCAGCGCCTTCGTGGAAGCCCCCCAGGGCCTCCGAATCGGCCCCCAAGTGACTTCAAAACTGCATCCCAGGGGCCCCCGAGAGGCGTGCCGCGAGATCCCTAGACACATACTTGAAGCCTCTAACCCATAACCCATGACCCAGAACCTTGTCTCCGTGTCCCCCTCCTCCTCCTCCCCGGCCCCCTCCATCCCCATACACATACCACAAACCTCTACCCCACAACCCATAACCGAGAGCCTCATCTCAGTGCCCCCTCCCCTCCTCTTCCTCCTCCCCCACCTCCTCGTCGCCCCCCTCCTCCTCTTCCTGCCCCGCTTCACCTCACCCTCTGCGATGCTTCTCCCCCCCATTTTCCGCCTCACCCCCCATCCTTCTCTCCCCGTCCTCCTTTTTCTCCCAAGCACGCGCGCCCGACTGGGCATCATTTGCACGTCTTGCACTTCAGGGCGCCCTTTTGTGCGTCGCGCGGGACATTGTGCGGATCGGGGAACGCCGACTTCGGTAGTCTTCTCTTGCATGCGCCGCTGCACTGATACGCCTGGCAACTGCGCGCGGTGAACCCGAGTTTTGTGCAGTCTCCGCACACGACTTTGAGTTGTGTCGCCTTTCGATGATGTTCCTTTTGCGTCTGCTTCAAATGTTTCGTGTCTGAGAACGCTCCTCCGCACGCCGCGCACGTCAGCGGCTTCGCGTCCGCCTCGGCTTTCCGTTTCCTATTATTCGACTCGAGCGTCGTCCTCTGACGTTCTTCCGCGCACCTCTGACACAGCCTCTCCCCCGCTGTTTTGTGCTTCTTCTGTGCATCGGACATATCCGCCTCCTCTGGGAAAAGCGACAGACATTTCTCGTTCGAACAACGCACCGTGCGTTTCCTGTTAATCGACTCGCGCGCCCCACGGCATCGCCAGTGCCCAAAACGGCTTCCAAGACGGATCTGGGAAGCCAGCAAAGCTGCCATGGTGGACGAGGATACCTCCAAGACTGCCCAAAAGGGCCGACAGTATCTCCGGAAACGCTCCAAATAGACCCCCCGGAGAACCCAAAATGCAAAAGTCGCTGATCTCCGTTATGTATTGCCCCTTGTCGAACCTCCGAAGCTCCAAAACGGCTCCGCAGACTTCTAAAACCACCCCCACCCGGCCGAACACGCCCCCAAGAGAATCCCCAGACGGCCCCAAAAGGCCCCGAAACGGAGAAGGAGGCGCCTCACATATATATATATATATATATATATATATATATACACACAAGACTGCACTGGCGCTGCGCTCAATGCACCTTGGTCCTTGAGTTTCGCAAGCTAGCGGAGTGCGTGCGTGCGTACATGCGCGCGCATCTGCGCCCATACGTACACGTTGCATTTGTGAATATGAATGTACGCGTGCAAGGGTATGTACACGTATACGCAAATCGTTTGCGCAGCCCTGGGCGCGCATGCACATGCGCATCTCGGAAGGTCTGCAAGAATGTCTCAGGCGAAGAAAGCGGGAACACTATGGAACAATGCGCTTCCGCAGTCGGAGTTGCGAGGAAATCCAAAACGAAGCGGGTTCGACTAATGCTTCTTCCTCATCCTTTTCCCCTTGCTTCGTTTGCTAGCTGGGTGGTAATCGTTACTTCTCCTCCGCGCTCCTTTATCTGCTCCTCGTTCTATTTGTCCTCGTATTATTATGTGCCCGTTTCTTTTCCCCCCTTCCTCCTGCTTCTCCTCCTGTTTCTCCTCCTCAGTCCTGTGCCGATTGAGCTGAACCGGAAGAGCTGAAGAGGATGAGGAGGAGGAGGAGGAGGAGGAGGAGGAGGAGGAGGAAGACGAGGAAGAGGATGGAGACGACGACAACGACGACGACGAAGAAGGCGACGACAAAGAGATGGGATAATGAGAAGGGGGAAACCGCTGTGTTGGGATCTCGTGGTGCGCCTCTCGGGGGCCTGTGGGAGGCAGTTTTGAAGCCTCTTGGGGGCTGTTTGTGGGCCTCTTGGGATCTTTTTGGGGCCTCTTGGGGGCCTCTTGGGGGCTCCTTGGGGCCTCTGGGGAGCCTCTTGGGGCCTCATGGGGCCCTCTTGGGGCCTCTCGGGGCCCGCTCGCGGCGGAAAACTTAAGTTTTGAATTTTTGGGCGCCCTCTTGGGCCTCTCTTGGGGCCGTCTTGGTGCTCTCTTGGGCCGCCTTGGGCGCCTCTTGGGCGGTCTTGGAGCCCTCCTGGACCGTGTTGGGGCCTTCTTGGGGGCCTCTTGGGCAGTACTGGGGCGATCTAGGGAGCCTCTTGGGCCGTGTTGGAGCGTGGGGAAGCGGAAAAAGCGAGAAGGCCAAAAACATCGAAAAACACACAGGAAAATCAACCATTTTAGCCTCTCGGGGCTCTCTTGGGAGGCCTCTTGGGGGTCTCTTGGGGCGTCTTGGAGGCCTCTTGGGCAGTCTTGGGCCCATATTGGGCGTCTTGGGCCGATCTTTGGGTGTCTCGGGGCCCTCTTTGGCCGTCGTGGGGGCTTCTTTTTTCGCGTCGGACTCGCAAGACAGACCTGCCTGGGGGGTCCAGGAGGACCGGAGATCCACGGAAACACTCTGCAGGAGCGCCCCAGAGGCTCGGGGAGGCCGAAATTCGTTTGGGGGGGGGGGGCACCGTGTGCCGCTTTTCCGGGGTCCCCGGCCCTGTAAAAATATATAAACAGGAATATGCACACACACACACACATCACACACACACACCAACACACACACATATATATATATATATATATATATATATATATACAAGACTGCATTGGCGCTTCGCGCCATGCACATTGGTCCTTCGAATCGAGCATAAATGGCTGTTCGCCTCATCCATGTTGACCTTGAAGTGCGGCATGCATGTACACAACGAGCGTGGAGGTAAAAGAACACGGGCTCAGCTGTAAGAAATACGCACGTGGGACACCGAAATCGACATAATGCAGGTTTCGCGACGCACGTGCCTCACGGGAATGTCGCGAAACTGGGATTCGGAGATTCTGGGCCCTCTTGGAGCTCTTTTGGATTGTTTTGGGGCCCTGTTGGGCCGTCATCGGAACTGTGGGATTTGAGGGGCCTTCTGAAGCTTTCGGCCCTTTGGAAGTTCCATTGGCTTTTTTGGACGACTTCCATGGCCGTGTGGCGTATCTCTTGGGAGCCTTTTGGGGGCCTGTGGGGATCGCGTGGTACGCCTCTCGGGCTTTCTGGGAAGCTGGTGTGAAGCCTCTTGGGAGTCGATTTGAAGCCTCATGGGGTCTTTT